CTACCCTTACAGGCTTGAACTGGGTCCAAAACACCTAATATTTTCAGACAGAAAAATGTCCCAATTTCATTAACTTAGGAGTCTCACCAATTTACACAATTAAACAGAATTTATTAGATATTTCATTACACTGTCAGCCATGATGATGTAAAAATAAAGAAGTGAAATGAAGGAAGAGAATTAGTTTTTATATTACTACTGAAAGTTTATACATAGAGAGCTCCAGCTTTCCTGTGAATCATTACTAGTACAGATTAAAGTTGACTGAGAAGGAAGAAAATCTTCATTTACAGTCAAAGTAACCAATAGCACATGTCTAGAAACCATAGTTCCATAAGCTCTTTTAAAAATGCCAAGTATGGTCATTATTATAATGTCTATACTGAAGATGTTCTTTTTTTAATTATTCCTCTTTTTTTTATTCACTTTGGGTACCCCAGCCCATGGAATGGCTCTGTTCACATTTAGGATGGATCTTCCCACCTCAATGAACCTAACCTAGATGATCCCTTACAGGCATGCCCAGAAATTTGTTTTCATGGTGATTTTAAATGCCATCAAGGTTAACCATCTTGTCAACTTGACATCCAAATACATCACTTTTTCCCCAACAAAATACTTTTATTGATTGTTTGGAAAATTTCACATAATGCAACATGTTCTTACTGCATCCTTTATAGAAGAGTAATAAACTGCCCATGCATGGTTGACCTCCTGTCCACTGACGTTCTTCTCTGTACTTTATGACTGTAGAAATGGGACAAGCTGTTGATGGCTTTGGAAGGAAATCTCAGCTCCCTTATTTTAATCAATAAGGTCTGCCAGCCTGGGCTACCAAGTGAGTTCCAGGAAAGGTGCAAGCTACACAGAGAAACCCTGTCTCGAAAAACCAAAAAAAAAAGAAAGTCTAGTCATAGAAGAGGCAAGATTCTTTGACATTTTATTTCTTAAACATGTTTTTCCCTATCCTAACTGAACAAAAGAAAATACTTATCAAGATCCAATTTCAAATATGAACCACTTAAAATTAACCAATATCCATATTTCAAAAAAATCTCTCATCTATATTGAATTAGTTCAAATCTAAGGATGATGGAGTTTTTTCTCCTCTCTGTATTCCTCCTGTGATATATGAGCTGTCTCTCCTTTTAGATATTTAAGTATCATTTGTGTAGCTGGAAGTTTTCCTGTGTCCTGCCCAGTCCTGCGGCTCCATGGTCCCACAGCCACTTATAAAATAATCATTCAGAGGCTTAATATTAATTATCAACTGTATGGCCATGGCCTATGGCTCAATTTTCTTGCTAGCTAGCTCTTAAAACTAAACTCAGCCCATTTCCATTAATCTTTATGTTGCCACATGTTCTGTAGCTTTACAGGTATGTTTTACATGCTGCTCCCTGGATGGTGGGATGGTGTCTCCCTTGCCTCTGCCTCTCTTCTTCTTGTCTCTCTACTGGATTTCCTGCCTGCCTCTACGCTAACTTACCATAGGCCAAACAGCTTTATTTATCAACCAATCAGAGCAACACATATTCACAGCATACAGAAAGACATTCCACAGCACATCTAATATTTTATACTTATGTTTTGTCTTTCATCCTAAATTAAAATTAATGAAGTTGGTAATCATGCAAACATTTATATAAAAACTGGATTTTACATTCTACTACAGAATGAGTTTTGTATTCATTCTAATAGCAGAAGCTCAATGGGTGTAAGAAATGAAGAAAAAAGTGTCCTATAAAGGATAATAGAAAAAAATATTCAAAGTACATTCATTTATAAAACATTTTCAGCTTTATCCATGTAGTGAGCAGCAGTGATTTCAGGACTCAAGATTACTAAAACCAAAACAATGCAAGTAAGACTGTCTCATCTAAATTATGCTAAAAACATATTCAGTGACATCCAAAGATGTTCTTACTTTACCAAGTCAGTTTTGATTATTTTAATTTTACAAACAATGTCACCTATACTGCAAATATTTACCGCATAAAACAAAATATTATTACCCACAGCACATGCAAGTCCATTCTCATTCTATATCTTTGAATAAGAACATTTTATACTGTTGCACAAATTTTGTATCAAGGTAAAGATAATGCTAACACCAAGGCTATCCCATAAATGGACCATAATACATGTAAATCTTTTCTCCTGTTTCTGTATCTTGATCAATCTGTGAACTGCTTGTGTTGTTGAAATCATCTTGCACCCACGTGAGGACAGTGTTGACATCAAGAATATCTGACAGACAGGAAGAACTGGGACCTCAGTAGAACGCTGAGCACCACCTCCATAGCCACTAAGCTCTGTACTCTAGTATGATTAGGAAATATTTTTGCTAGGATAAATATATGCTGTAAAGACTTGTTTCTTTTTTCTTTCCATTTTTTTAGTCTCATACTATACTTCAGATCTGCAATGTGTCCAAATGCTTAGTCCTCAACCAATGACACTGCCAGGACAGCAGAACTTGATTAAGACTGCAAAGTGACTTCAAGGTCAACTTGACCTTCACGGTAAGACCATGGCTCACAAACTGAAGGGTAGGGAAACAGCTGAGTGCTAGGGAGCTCCTTGCTCTCTTCCTCATACTTTCGTCTTCTTTGTAACACAAAGTGAGCAGCTGCATCCGCCAGGCACTTGGGCATAAGAGCCTATACCGTCATGGGCCCCAACACAAATGCTCAACAGACTGGGCACTGAAAATCCAAAACTGTGGGGAGTTTGAAAAAACAAGACAAGGCTGCCTTACACAGCATGTTAACTGTGTATATTTATAGTTATTTGATTGTTAACTAAAAGTTTCTTCATTAAGTACAGTACATAAATTAGTTATTCCCTTTAAGAAAAGCACAGAAATGAACAATTTCTAAGGCAGAATGAACAATATGAAAGAACCCTACATTTAAGGAGCATATACTTGGGTGGGGGTGTGTTATTTTATTTGTGCTGAAATGTGGTATTTTATTTGTATGTTAATAGATAAAGTTGTCTGAAGATCAGAGGTCAAATAGCCATAAACAGAAGTCTGGCAGTGGTATCACAGGCCCTTAATTGGATCACAAGGCAGGTAGAATCTCTGCGTGGTCAAGAACACAGCCAAGCATGATGATACACACCATTAATCCCAGTACCAACCATAGAGATCTGGAGGTCTGTATAGACAAGCAGTGAAGAGGAAGTCATGTGGCTGGACTTGGAGTTGATGAGAAGAAGAACAGGAAGACAATAAAAGCACAGCTTAGACAAGAAGAAGGTCTCTTGCTGGGGAAGCTACAGCAAGTCGTGGCTATTCGCTATGGTGGTAAGCTAAGGCTAGTCGTGGCTATTCGCTATTTCTCTGATCTCTTGTATTTGGCTCTGTGTTTCTTATTTAATAAGACTGTTTAGAAGTTCATCTACAGGGGTGTTTTAATAATTACACAAGATAAGACACCTGGCACTCCTATAAACTCATGGAATGCTATAGTGAATGGAAACCCTAAGCTGGTGGTGAGGCCAAGCCTTGGGAGCCATCTGTTACAAGAGACTACATCAGGATGAATGCCTTCAGGAATCCAAAGGAGACGAACCAAAGTGAGGAGTCACAGGAAAGTTCAGTAAAGGCAAACCTTTGTGACTAGATTATTCATTTTGCAAGGCATTAACAGGTTACTTAGAAGAAACAGAGGTAGGTTTTGGGTAAGGAAAGGGAGGCAGGGGGTAGGATAGAGACTGGGATGGAGGAAAAGAAGAGAGAGCAGAGACAGAGCAAGTGAAGTAACAAGGAGATGCTTAACTAAGGAGAGAAGCATTGGAAACAGGGTGAAGATGAGTCAGAAGCCTTAGAAGCCGCTGACTCAAGCTCCCAGGCAACAGACAGATAGAGGTGCATACACAGTGGAGAGACATGCTGTGGAATGTTCTGATGTTAAACGTGTTGCTCTGATTGGTTAATAAATATAACACTGATTGGCCAGTAGCCAGGCAGGAAGTATAGGTGGGACAAGTAGAGAAGAGAATTCTGGGAAGTGGAAGGCTGAGTCAGAGAGATGCTGCCAGCTGCCGCCATAACAAGCAACATGTAAGATACTGGTAAGCCATGAGCCACTGTGGCAACTTATAGATTAATAGAAATGGGTTAATTTAAGACACAAGAACAGTTAGCAAGAAGCCTGCCACGGCCATACAGTTTGTAAACAATGTAAGTCTCTGTGTGTTTACTTGGTTGGGTCTAAGCGGCTGCAGGACTGGCAGGTGAGAGAGATTTGTCCTGACTGTGGGCCAGGCAGGACTGGAGAAAACTCCAGCAACAGAGACATGATTTTTAAAATTTTTAATTCCAGTGGCCATGATGAATGGTTTGATGTGAGAAAAAAATAATAATAAAGCCTTTGTTGATTGATATTTTTATATCAGTACTGTTAGCAGGATGTATTAAAAGGATTACCACATTCAGTTGGGTCTGCCAGCTGAGGCCCTTGCTGGAACTGAACCCTATCTTTGCTACTGATGTTTCCCTCTCCTGAGTGCTGAATTGAAACACTCACTAATATTCCATACACGAATCTTATCTCAGTGTTGGTGTCTGGGTTAACAAAATACACACACATACATACAAGCACTAAGCAACTGGTACAAGTCTATGTCCTTCTCTTGAAACAGGGTCACTTCTATGTGGTTTTAAATATCCATTTCGATCTAGTGTTGAAGTAAGACAAAACTCAATGTTCATTATCTGTTTCAAAACCTGTCCTAGAAGGAATACACAGGTTATCCCCTTACTGAAGGACCAGTTTGTGAAAATCCTGATTAAATTATGAAACATCACATCCATGATACATATTACATTTATACTTGCACTGAATTTTATTCTCTACAGAAATAATCATTCCTCCACCCGCCCACTGCAAAAAAAGGAAAATAACACAGAAAGAGCCTTTTTACTCTAAATCCCAGAACATTTAAAAGATGACAAAACAATTTTCATAACATTTATTTTCTAGGTACTGAAAAATGTTCCAAAAACCTAAGCTGACATTTTCACGATTCGCTGTCCTTGGCTCAAAAACCAGCCTGACCAAGAGTAAAGAAGGGAATCATTAAGTACGTTTTTCCTAATTCATTTTAATATAATTGTTGCATTTCTGTTCTTACTATAATCAACAAGTGCTTCTGTAATTGTGAATGACAATGACTACTTTTCAGTGGGAACAATCTTGTTAGTATATGATGCTGACATTCACATTATATGATAAATTTTGCTGTCTTCAATTGAGTGCTTTGCACAGACTTTTTTTCAATTTCCCTTGGGAAAATATTAACAACCAGACACTCATAACTCAATTATATGCTGTAGATTGCTCTAACTCTAAAGTGCACAAAGGACACCTTCAGTCCTCCGAGTCCCTACATGTGTGGTTGCCTTCACAGAGTAGTCTGGATCATTACTGAAGGGCACTGAGCCAATGCAAACCCATGGGTCTAAACACTGCTGAAGTACTACATCTCAACACTTGCTGGCTACCGTGGAGTACCTTTTACCACTGGAGTGATTTATACAAATTGAAATGGTGGATGCCTACATAAACACAAACTGTTTTTAATGCATATAGGACTCTCTCATGAATTACATGTTTTAGAGAGGTACAAAGAAATTCCAGTTATGTGGAAAACCTCTAATTGAATAAAGCATTCAAATACTCATTTATTACAAGAATGTCATAAGAGAACTATATATTTTATAAACATTTACTTTATTAAATATTAGCACATTTTGAGCATGGAATATCGCCAAAGAAAGTTATGCTTAAAATAATCACAAAAGGAAGTTGTGCTATCGCAACTTATTTTAAGCGATGATCTAATACACTCAGTTCAGATAAATGAACCTTTTCTTCCAATCCCTGAAGGCAGAGAAGAGAACAAGAACAGATTCCCTTAAAAGCATGAATTGCTTTTTGTTATTATACTAAACCAAGTCATATTTGGGAAAATGCATTGTAAGCCAGATTATATGAAAGCAAAAATGCAAAATTAAAACATTTTCTTTAGCTTTGTTTGTAGAAAGTGTCATCTTCTGCTAAGAAGTTACTGGAAACTGAGATATTTATTACCAGATATCATGAATACTTTAAAAATAAATTCCTGAATAAAAAAAATATAACTTTAAGGAAAAAAAGAGTGGAACCACAGTATTAGAGTGGAGGGTACACCTTAAATTCTAGTACATATTCTACTATTTTTATTTCACATTACCCTAAATACTAAATACACAGGCTACAGGATAAGTGTACTTTTGAAAAGATTGTCTTTTATTATTTAATAAATTCAGAGAATTTGGGAAAAACTCCATGCAGTATTTTAGTTGCCCATTTTTCTTGTAGAAACACAACTTCCTTGAATGCATGTTTAGACATTTTCTTTCAAAGACACTTAGCAAATTTGAACATTCAAAACAAAAACAAAAGCAACTCATTTTCTCTCACAAGATATCAAAAATGTATAGAGCTACTGTTCTCACTCTTGGAATGCCAGCCTTCTGGAGGTGACAGCAGGAGGAGGATCACTGAGGCTGTAAGTCAGCCTGAGCTGAAGAGTAAGACCCTATCTCAAAGAAGTGAAACCAAGCAAGCCAAAAAAGAGTGCAAAACAAAGCGAAAGTCTGCCTATATTCAAGTGTCCATCAAGCAACAATAGTACATATGCAAATAAGCATTTGCATGCAGACTAAAATCTCAAGAACAAACCTTATTCAAAAAGCCAAGTCATTGGTGTTTCATCATAAAAGGTATTTAATTCATATAAGAGTCAAAGACTGGTCATTATGTGTGAATGCAATAAGGTAGTTCAACGTCTCTGGATGATGGCTTGTAAACAGAACTCATACTGTCTCTGATTTACCTGAATCTTACAAGGCTTCTACTGTTTGTGAAGATAAGTAAATTGACAATTACAGATACCTCACAGGTTAAGAATTCTTCACACATTTTGCATTTTCAATTTTCAATCTCTCTGGTCTTGGAATTGATCAGTTTCACTGTGGATAATATTTGAAAACTCTTTGAAAATACTAATTGATAATACCTAAACCTTTATTTTCAGCATTGTTAGTTAACTTGTAGGATATAATGGAAATTGTATTTTGGATTTGAATATGCATTTCTTTTGTGATTTTAAAGATTTCATTTAAATTTAATTGAAATTGACATTCAAAACATGATAATTTAAAAATGAGGACAATACCACTTTATGTTTTACATGTGTACTAATTAAGTAATATTTAAATCATATTAAATCTCTCTGTCTTCTCATGTATCATTTCTTTATGTAGTAACATTCAAAATCCCTTCGTCTACCATTTTTTCTGTGAATTTCTCACAGCTGACCTTGAACTTACCATTGTCCTCGCTCAGCTACCTGAGTATGCAGATTAAAGGTGTATATCATTGTGCCTGGTTTGTTGTTGTATGTTTGTTTTAGAATTGCGGAAACACAACTTATGCAATTCCACTGGTCTGTGATAGCACACATCTGCAATGCTAACTCCTGTCCACTGATGACTTAGTGCCCACGGATCATCTTTTCCTATTCTTCTCTTTTCCCTACTCTCCCAGCTGCTGATAACCACAGTTTACTCTCAAACATGGTAAATTTCTAAATTCTACTTTTGAGTAAGATCATGCACTAGTTGTATCTATTTGTATCTCTTATCTAATTTATCAGAATACTTTCCAATTCTATCTATATTTTTGAAAGTGATTGAATGTTGTTCTTTCAATGGCTCAGAAGTTTCTATTGGGTATATATACCACATTTTCTTCATCCATTGAACAGTTTTTAGATTCATGTTTCTATTTTTTGGTTATTGTGAACAGTTTTGTAAGAAACATGGAAGGGCTGATATTATCGTGACAGATGGATTCCCTTTAGATAGTTACTGGATCACATGTTAGTTCTATTTTTTAAAGAGATTGATTTATTTCTATGTTATGTGTGTTGGTGTTCTGCTTATATGCATGTCTGTGCCCATATTTGTGTAGTGCCTATGGAGAGCATTAGGAGACACCATATCCTCTGAAATGGAATTACAAATGTTTCCTAGCCACCATACTGTTTTCAATAGTAACTGTAACAGTTTGCATGCTCATCAATATTGTACAAAATTTCTTTTTTTCTCCATATTGTTAACTATGCTTTATATGAGTCAGTCTTACTGAAGTGTTCTACATTTCACTGAAAATTAATGATTTTGAACAGTTTTAACACCAGCTAGTCATGTTTCTGTTTGTTTTTGAGACCCCTTCTTTTTTCCCCTATGAGTGTTTAGGACTGAGTGTATGCCCTCACATATATTTGGCAAGCACTTTCCCACTTAGCCATATTACCTCCATTTTCCCCACTTTTAATTTTATTTATTTATAGTTATTAAACTATGAGTTGCTGATGTATTCAGAATATTATTATTCATTAACTTTTCTCTATAGTTTGCAGAATCTCTCATTCATACGTTTTCTCTTTTCCTTGATTGTTATTTATATTGTTGTTCAGAAAAAGATTTGATATAATTTCATTTCTCTAAATTTTCTTTTTCCTCCTGTGCTTTCAGGGTTTTGTTCTAAAGATATAAAAAGGCTTTGTCTTTTCTGATATTGTGAAACATTTTTTTTCTAAGGTACCTAGTTTTTTTTAATGTCTTATAATTAACTATTCATTTGAGTTTTATAACTAGAGATAGGTTTCTACCTCCAGTCTTCTGCATGTACACAGCCAAGTTCTCAAAACTTTTTATTAAAATGTTTTCCTTTTTATGGGGTCAGGGGGCCAGATGGGGTTTTTCTGTGTAACAACTCTGGCTGCCTGGAACTCACTTTGTAGACCAGGCTGGCCTCAAACTCACAGAGATCCATCTGCCTTTGCCTCCCAAGTCTGGCATTAAAGGTGTGTGCCACCACTACCCAGCTTAAGTTTTCCTTATTGAAAGGCAGCTGAATGTAGACCCATGGGTTGTCTGTAGTGACTTAGCTTGTTCTTTTCCATTGGTCCATTTGTCTGTTTCTATGACAGTGCAATGGTGTTTTGATGACTCTAGCTTGACCGTAAATTTGGAACTCAGGTAGTGTAATGTCTCTAGCTTTCTCTTTTTTTTAGAAAAGAATAATTATTGATAAGATTTTAGTTTCACCTAACGTGTTGAGAATTCCAGTAGTCTATCATCACACTTGAGTGTTCGCTGTGCTGATGAGAACACATAAGTGTGAATGCTGAATCAAATGTTCTATGGATGTTTGTCAGGCTGAGAATTCACTATAACTCTTAAATTTCTGTTCATTTTCTGTCTGAATGATTGTGGATTGCCAAAATGGGGCATTAAAGTCTCCCACAATTATTGAGTGGGAGTCTATCTCCTTCTTTAGTCTATTGATATTTGCTTTATATGTTTGGGTGCTGTGATGTTAAATGCATGCATAGTTAGAATTCCATTTCTTCTTGTTGAGTGGAACTCACTGTTATCATGTCTTTCTTGTCTCCTTTACTACTTTTCATTTAAAGTCAGTTTTATCTGATGTAAGTATAGCCACCTCTGTTTCCTCTTGAACTTTATTTGCTTAGAATTAGATTTTTCTAGTTTTAATCCACATATTTCCTTTGAGGTAATTTGAATTTCTTATAAGCAACATATGGTTGAGCCTGTCCCACATTTAATCCAGCACTATATATCTTCTAAGTATAGAATTTATTCCCTTTGAATTTAAAGTAATTGCTAATAGGTAAGATCTTAGTAGAGCCATTTTATAACTTTTCTATGCGAGAGTTCACTAATCCTAGCTAATATTTTTTGAGCATTTGGTGGGTCATAGCTTCATTAAACGTCTTAAAACTTGCTAAGTATTGGCATTTGTCAGAAGAAAGATACTTGTTAGGCTTCAGAATTTGTCTTTCTTTGCTTAGGCTTGTCTGTAAAGACACGTTTCTATTTTCCAAGCTTGTAGTCACTTCTTCTAATTTAGCACCAGATGGTGTGTACGTCCATGTTTGGAGTGTCTGCTGTGTGTGTATTGTCACTCTTTCGGCACAAAGGGCAATCCCCTCCCAATCGCACCCTGTCTTTGGGTATTATTTTGTTCATTAGCTGCCAGAGTGCCCTCCGTAGAATGGCAGTCCATTTTCCCATGCTTCTGCTGGGGTTTGGAGTGGCTCGGATATACCCTGTCCACTGTCACCTGCTTGTGGTTTGACATTGTGGTGTTAGGTCCAATTTGCTGAGAATCATCACTGAGTTAAAACCTCCCGGAACTATGCTTTGTGTGTGGCCACAGGACTCCATCACATCCAGAGCCCATGGTGTGGAGACAGGACCCAAAGCCCATGTTTCTACTGACTGCCTACTGAAGTGATGCTGGACAGAATAAAACTCCACTAGATTCGGGCTTCATGCCTCCTCTTCATACTAGCACGTTTTCAAAAGTCTGTTGACACTGGTCTGGGGCTAAGTGTTATGAGGGCCTGCCCAGCCTACCCCTGAGTTCCAACACAAAGCCATTTGTTAATTATCTTAATTTACCTCAGTGAATGGAGTCTTTCTCTGTGTTGTAAAAGTTGGGGTTGTGTGGGGGAAGGCAGTGCTTGGCCACTAAAATTGATATTAACCTGGCCAATGCCCAAATCTCATAGTCAGAAGAACATGTACTTTTTTAAGAGTATACTAAGATCCACATTATAACTAGTACAGAGCAAAACACAAGTCCATTTCAATGGCATATTGCTTTCTGTCTGATATAGGATACTTCTGGAGGTATTGTCTTGGAGAACTTGCTTAGGGATAGTTAGTTGTTCTTTTCCAACTTGGGGTAGGGCAGTCAACCTGTTGACTGTGAACACTTTGGGGTTGTATATCAGATATCTTGCATATCAGATATTTACATTACGATAGAAACAGTAGCTAAATTACAGGTATAAAGTAGCAACAAATAACTTTATGGTTGGGGCTCAGCAAAACATGAGGAATTGTATTAAAGGGTCGTAGCTTTAGGACAGTTGAGAACCACTTGGCTAAGGTAATACAGACAATTCTCAGCTTTGTTTTGTTTTTTCAAGACAGAGTTTCTCTGTGTCATAGCTCTGGCTGTCCTGGAACTCACTCTGTAAACCTGGCCTTGAACTCACAGAGACACACCTGCCTTAAAGGTGTGCACCATCACCAGCAAGCCACTTCTCACCTTTGAATGTTCATACTGAGCTAGGTCATACTTGAGTCTGATAGTTTCAGACCTGTGTTGTCAAAAATTGGGGAGTGGGTAGATACTTGAAATCAATTCAAAGATTGGCGTTAATGTACACCCCAAATAGATTCTATCCCCTTGGCATGTATTTCACAAAAGGATGTTGGGGGCAGGCCTAGAGTATCTGTCTTTGAGCTTTGGCCTCATTCTGTGGTCTATATAATTTGCCCAGTCTGGTTCTCATTTAAATGGGCCCAGAAGTAAGCCAAAGATTCAACCCTTGTGAGCTTTAATGCCCCTACTGCAGGATAGGTCACCGTCAATGCTCCACCGTCTGTGGATTGGCAATAGATGATAGAGAAAGCTTCTGTGTTGACACAGTTCCATATTTTGTACAATTGGTTTAGGCAAGAGATAGTTTTGAATGTTCTGCCCATCTCTGAATTTCACTAGTTCTAGTCAAAGCTGTAGCCTGGACTTAGTTTCCTTTCCCTGACTCAAGTGGGAGGCACCTCTCCCACATGGTTAGCGGGGTTGGGCAGGTAATACAAGCAAGTATTTCCTTCTTAAGCCTTCTTCAATGTCTTTTCTTTTTATCACATTAAAACCAGGCTTCATGGTCACTTTTTGGGAATCTTTAGCTCTTACAAAAATTTCTGGTTATATGAACTGCTCAGACTGGTGTCTGTGGGGTTATGGTTGCTGGAGGATTTTACACAGACACCACCTTTCTCTTTCTCTGTATTTACTTTAAATGATAAGACTTCTTAATCATCTCATAGTTGGAACATTGTGAGTCATTAGCTCAGAATCATTAGGCCTTGGTAGAAATTTATTCAAATGTGAAATAAAAGTATGGACAAACAATGTTAAGATGCCACCACAGCCTTGGATCACAGGAATACTTATTAATTAAAAATTACTAAAATTTTGATTTTATTGTTGCATGTTAAGGTAAAATACATGTTTACTCTTGATTAATTCACTTGCCATATTTCATTACAGATGCTTGTTTTTCTAATACATAAGTAGATATTTACAAATTTTTGCTGCCTTCATTCATGTTTTCAATGGCTTTAATATTATACTCATTGACCCAAAATATGCATATGTACTGAAATCTGTAAAAGCGTGAAATGTTTGTCAGAGGCAATATGTTTTTAAATGTCTTCTAATGTTTTGACACATGTAAGACCTCCTGGGTGACACTGTGTCACTAATACAAAGCAGACAGAAGGCACAGAAGAAATTCAGTGACTCCACCAATAATGTATATAAACAAACTGACCTTCTTAAAGTTTTTGTTTAAGTCCACCAGACTGAGCAGGAAGACATGGTCCTTGGCTCCTAGGAGCAGCCTGCCCCTCTCCTCATCTAAAAGAAGAGTCCGGAAATCCAGTCCTTCAGATGAACCCAAAAAGGGAATGCAGCTGTTTGAAAGCAGCAAGTCTACAGAAAAGTCAAAATAGGGAGAGGAAGGGAAAATTCTTAGTATGAAATCTGTTTACCTGCCCAAATACACATATTGATCCACTTTGTGAACATACTTATGCAGCGTGGAAGCTCCAGTGTTGACATTGGAGTGAGTCTAATATACACTCCTTCAGAAATACTTTGCCTTAAATATTTGATTTGTTCTATTTTGTGTATGAAATACATTTTAAAATTAATATAAAACTTTGAACTATGAAATACAAAATATTGCAAAAGCAGCTCTTAAAATATAATTTAAAGCATTTCCCTTTAGTAATATTTGAAAAAATGATAAACTCAGTTGCATCAACAATGTATAAAGCTGTGTCATAAGTATCACGGCATTTCTTCTTCTTGCACTTTTTAAAAATTTTATTTAGCATGAAAAATAATGGTGTTGTTATTACATTTTCATTCATATTTCACATTTCACATTGCTTACATTCACCTATTTCATGCCGTGGCTCTCTTACCATCTTTTGGTCTTTTCCCTCTCCTTAAACAGTCCTCCATCATTCATGTCAAAAGCATGTGATATTTGTTTTTGTGAATACTGTTTCATTGTCTACTTATATTGTAATTTGTTCCTTCACCCACAGGAACGGGCTAATTTGTTGCTTCCAAGTTCTGGCTGCTACAAATAAAATATATGCATACAAAGTGTTTGTGCACATAAATTCTTGATTTCTTTGGAGTAAAGCACAAGAAACAATTGTCTGGTTACATATTTAGTTTTGTTAGAAATTGTCCAGCACTCTTTCTAGGATGTCTAAATCAATTTGTGTTTTACTAGTGATAGATGCATGTTCCTGTTGTTCTTGCTAGCATTGACGATGCCACCGTTGTAGATGTGGCCCTCTTAAGAGGCACGCATTGTTATGTTATCTTACTTCAAATTTCTCTGATGATACTGGTATGGTGTATGAGTTCATATGCCTATTTGCTCTTTTAATGTCCTTATTGGATATTAATGCGTTTGATTCTATTCTTTTAAAAATTACATGTTTCTTACTGTTGAATTTTGGTAGGTCTTTTTACAGTTTGGATATCTGACCCTTATGAAACAGGTGTTTTAAAATGTGCACTTTCTGCCAGGCAGTAGTGGTGCACGCCCTTAATCCCAGCACTCGGGAGGCAGAGCCAGGTGGATCTCTGTGAGTTCGAGGCCAGCCTGGTCTACAGAGCGAGATTCAGGACAAGCACCAAGACCACACAGAGAAACTCTGTCTCAAAACAAAACAAAACAAAACAAAACAAAAACAAATAACAAAAAAGTTCACTTTCTTGTCTATAACTTCTATTTTTTTTTTATTTTCAAGATCTGAAAGAAAAATCTTTTGTAAGTAAAATTTGATTTGGAGAGGTGGAAAAATGACCTTGTGTTAAGTGCACCTGTTATTTCTGCAGAAGAATGTGGATTGGGTTCCTAGCACCCATGTGGTGGCTCACAAGCTCCTGGAACTACAGTCCCAAGAGATCAGGCTCTCCCTTCTAGCCTCTGCAGGCACCAGGCACACTATGGTGCCCAAATACACATGCAGGCAATATACTCATGAACATAAAACACATTTTAAAAAATGTAACAAGTTAAAGGCTAATTTTTAATATTTAAGTGTGTGGGGTCGGGGTGTGTGCATGTGTGTGCAGTTCCTTCAGATGCCAGCAGTGCCAGCTATTCCTAGAATTAGAATTACAGGCAGTTATGAGTGGTGGAGGCTGGGAAGAAAGTCTCAGCCTCTGAAAGACCACCGAGCTAGCTCTCCCTCACCTCTTCCTCCCACTTGGGGTGGGGTTTAGGTTGGTGCACTATTTTCATGGTTTTCACTATAGTTTTAATTTCCTTTTTTTGAGATTATAGTATAATTGTATCTTTTCTTCCTTCCCTTTCTCTCCTCTAAACCTTCCCATATACCCCTCCTCTCTCTTTTTCAAGTTAATGGGCTTTTTTTTTCATTTACTGTTATATGCATGTATGTACTTATTAATGTATATACATTTCTAAATACATAAATACCACCTGCTCAGTCTATGTCTGGATAATGTTACTTGTATGTATGTTTTCATAGCTGACCATTTAGTATTGGATGACAAATTGGTTTGCTCTTCCCCGGGGAAGACTATTATTCTGCTCTCAGCATTGGTTAGCTGTCTGCAGTTCTTCGTGTAGGTTGAGGCCTCCTGGTCTTTCCCCACCCACTCTAGCATGTCTGCTGTTCTCCTTCTTCTGTTCATGTGTAGGCAGTCATGTTGGTGAGTCTATGGGTATTCTTTGCAACCGAAAGTCATGGTAGAAAACATAGTGAATCAAAAGGAAGAGTTGTGAAGCACAGTCTCAGTGGAAACATCTGCAAAACAGCTCCCAACTTATTGCTCAGGGACCATTATGGAGACTGGAAAAGTCAAAGATCAGGGAGTTGAATGTGAGATTGTTTCTCCTAGCAATGCATACGTTCTTACTATTTCAGATGTACATTTCATGTTTAGATGTATATTTCAGATAAAGTTGTAAACAGCCTGAAACTAGAAATAGAGCCAAAAATGGAAAGCTGGATGTGACATTTGAATGAGTTAGTACAACTCTAACGTCACAAATGAAAGCATTTCATCTTGATAAAATGAAAATGCATATTCTGCAGTTATGTTCTATTGTGTCAAACACGATAATTATACTGTACTTCCTAGTCATTCTCTTTGTGACCTGTCTGTAGGTTCAGTTCTTTTGGTCTGCAACAATCATTACAGACATTTCTAAGTATACTAGATCTTTGTGATACATTTCTTTTAACCAAAGTACCTACAATAGTAGCTTATATTTCTATAATCCTAGAATACTGATCACTAATAAGGTAGCAATAACAAATTAACTACTTTATTGAGGTTAATTATATGAAAAATTTTAAAAAGCTGATAATTTGTAGTAATTAACTATTAATTAATACTCTCCTCTACTTTCCATTGAACAATTGTTATTTTACTCAATTTCTAAAATAGACTTGAAAATTTTAATTTCAATGTGAAAAAGTTATAAGGTAGCACAATCAGAAATATTAAGTGACTGTAGTTATCAAACAAGACTATTTCATTAATATTTATATAGAACATTTTATGCACACTAGAAGGACATTGAAATCTATGCTCATTTTTATTGAGGTAAATATCATTTTCATATGAGAGGTACAAGATTGCAATATAATTTTACAACTCAACATGCCAAGGTCCTATGTTTTTGGCTCATTTCCAATGAACATTCCATACTGGTTGTAAGAACTGAGAAGAATACAGTGGAATCAAGGGAATGTCTAGGACAGACATGATTAAAGCCTCTTAAAAGAACACACAAACCTTCACTCAATCAGGCAAATCTGTATCTTCCTTGGGATTTCCCTTAGTAAAAGTAGAAATGTGAAAAATCAAAAGTATTTGAAGAGATTCCCAGGAGTATATTCTCACTTAACTAGTATTTTGTGTGATATAAACCCTCATGACTTCAATTTTCCAAAACTAATGGTTATTCTGAAACATGGATTGCAATGAAAATTACAAAATGCAACATGACCTAGCATAAAAAGTAATAGCACAATAGTACAAGAGTTAGATCAAAGCACTAGGGTCCTATCTGTGGCTGACAAATCACTGGCAGTGTGATTTAGTGACCTAGGACAAGTCCCTTGACTTCCGTGTGTCAGCTTCCTAATACACAAAAAGAAGATAACAGAAAGTATATGGCGCATCCTGTCTGCTTGTAGAACAAAGGAATTAGTGTGAAATTGGCATTAGAATAACAGTTGGCACACCCTACATGCTATGTGTTGATCAACTACTACAGGGATGATGATGTGTTCCTTTTAACATTTATGTGAAATCTATGCAAAGAAATCATAACACTTCCAAATTTATATAATTTTCTCAACAAGTAGAAGAGATAATTTATAGCATTTCTTAAAGTTATAACTCATAAATGAGAAAATGTTAGTAAATATTGTTGTTCCAAATATTAGCATTAACCTCCACTTTGGGCCAAACAAGTTTTTATTAAAGAAACACATTATCATATCTTCTAGACTAGAGAAAACTAGAGAAATTAAGATATATTCAGATAACATTAAAAGAATATTCATTACACAAAAATTATATAGCCTATGTGATCACTGAGCCAGGTGTTCACATTATGGTATTAGAGAATCCTGCCAGCAAAGACTCTTGGATCACTGCATATACATACATTCATTCACACACACACACACACACACACACACACACACACACATGCACGTGTATGTGTTTTTGTTTTAAAAATGTATTTATATAAAAATAAAATACAACACATATCAAATACATTCTAGGAGAGGTGCAAATGTTCCTTCTGAGCCATCCCTTGTCCAGCATCTCCCTGCTATGTCCTTTACTTAACCAACATCATTATGGCTTCAAAGTCACTTAAAGTAATGAGCAACTGATGAATCATCAGGTCAGAATAGACTAGAGCTGCATAGTACCCCAATATGTGTGCCACTCACATGTCTTCATCATTCAGGCCAACACTGTAACTGGTTACATCACCACAAGATAGGCAAGTACCATTCAGTAAGATAATCTGGTAGAGACTGCACATATGCAACTTTTATTGAAGTTTATTATTAGAGTTCTATTTATTGTTATTGATTATTATGACCTATACTCTTCCTCCTTTATAAATTTTTGGGTACATATGCCTAGAAAGAAAGTAATATATGTATATTTCACTATCCTTGCCAATTTCATGATTCTGGTTGTCTTGGAAATTATTTCCTATGGGGTGGGGATGGGTAGAACAACTCTGTGTTGTTGCTATTTCTTGTGATGCATTCAACTCATGAAAAGACCAGTCTTACTTGTATTTAAGTTTCCAGTAGCTATCTTACAGTCTGAGAAAATTAAGTGCTTAGTGACCATTTGCAGCATGGAATTCAGTCTCTTAAACATGGAAAATATGTGGG